GATCGTTGGCTCCACGCTCGCCCCGGCTTGAGTTCATAAGGAGGGGGGGGGTGTTACATGCTGCGCCTGCACACGAGGGCCATTTTCCAGGCCCTGCGTCCCTCAGGCTGAAAGCCCGAAATTCAGGCTAAAAGTATGAAAACCAGGGCCTACAGGCCTCGTGTCTGTTCAGCCCAAAAGCCTGAAAAACAGGGGCCTACAGACCTTGTGTCGTTTCAGACCAAAAATGGCAATAGCCTTTTTAGCCTGAAACGACGGGCCATTTTCGGTCGTTCATCAGAACGACCGGCCCTGAAACTCAGGGACCGAACCAGGGTTTCGGGAACAGGCTATTCTTAGCTTTTTCCCACGCCAGCCTCAACAGAGGCTGCAGCTCCAGCCCCTGGCACACTTCGGCATTGGCAAGAGCAGCCTCCTCGGCCTGGCTCGCCCTTCAGGCAGTCAGGAGGCAGGCCGAGGTAGTACATAGGGACTTCCCATGCACTTCACGGGCAGGCAGGAGGCAGTCAGTAGTCTTCAGGATTCGGCAGCAGCACTCTGGAGGGAGCGCTGCCAGGAGTAGTAGTAGTAAAAGGGCCTTTTTCACCCCGAATGGAAAACCCCACAGCAGAGGGCTCTGTTGGCCAGAGCTTAAAAATCACGAGCAGCAACTCAAAAGACAAAGTTCTTGAGGGAAAAGTCACATCCATAATGAAACAGAAAGTCGTTTTGAAAAGGGTTATGACAGGTCCTGCACGAACAGGTATTGGACACAGTTTTTGAGACTGAGCAAGGGTCATGTCTCCTTGATGAAAAGTCATGTCTGTTCGTCAATAAGTCAAAGGCCACAGTCCCAGTCCAGTCATAATTCTATAAGTCAGTCCAGATTCAGATCGGGAGTCCAAAAGAAAGGCCTGATGGCCCAAGCAGCAGCAGACCCTGGGAAAAGATACTGGGACACACACTTTGCAACAATCGGTACTGGGCAGGAGTCCCAGGCACACTTGAGGCTGAATGCAGGCCACGCCAGACCAGTCCAGCACTATAAAAGACTGGCCAGCCTCCCATTTTGACAGATGCTCACTTGGCATGGAAGTGTGGAAGTACCATGGCACTTGTGCGCTGGATGTGTGTGAGCTGCGCTAGGCTGAAGAGCAGCGCTGTGTGAGGAAGAAGAGAGTGCTGGCGAGAGGGAAGGCAGCCATAGCTGCGCCAGCAGAAGTTAGTAGTAACAGGGTGGTTAGTAGTAGTAGGAGTACCCGTGAGTAATATTCAGAGTAGATCCTCGTGTGATAGGGAGTGTGCATGTATGATGAGTGAGAGTAGACCATTACCATAGATCAAGAGGGGGAGAGAGAAGAAAGCAGACGAGAGAGGGGGAGGAGCGAGCTATGGTGATACTTACCTAGTGCGCACTGTTGTTGATGTCCAGCAGCTGGTGCCGGCTGAGCGCCTGGACAGGAACTCATGTTGATTGGAGAAGACTTGTGACTTTGATTGGCGCTGTGCATTTGGACTTATGTTGTGCCCTCCTTACTCTGGGTTGGTTACAGGAACTTCCTGGTTCTCATTCATCTTCTATTGGGCTTTGTGTGAGACATCACAGCTTGAGAAATCTGTGTGAATGCATGTGATGTGATACACTCCAGCAAGTATTGAGCAGTCAGGTTCCTTACAGTAGCGTTAGCCTTAGTCTTCAGCGCTGGGCGCAGTAGGTAGCTGTAGTCTTCATCGCTGGGCGCCATAGCTAGGATAGCACTAGAGAGAGAGAGAGATCGGGCGGAGGCCAGGAGTACCTACCTGCAGCGCCGTTGCTTCAGCTTCGTCTTCGAGGTACCTGCAACACAGCGCCAACTTCACAGGTTAGTATCTGGCTCGTAACAGAGAGAGAGAGTTCTTCTTCTTCCTCTTCTCCGTCCGCCATCCCCCTCTCACCCTCTCATCATCTGACTTCACTGCATCAGCAGACTACGAGAGAAGAGAGAGAGATCTGGGTGACATTGGATCCGGACTCGACTTTTGGCTTCAGACATTGCAACGAGGGATTATTTGGGGCTTGTGACAAAGACTTGGTGTTGACGACATTCCCATCTCTCCCTCTCCTCTTCGTCTGTGTATGTCTGGACCTGGCGCTTCCTTCCTGTGTGGATACGATGCATGTTTGGTCTGTGTTGAAACATTGATTGGGCTAGTCATTAGCATTCTAGCATTCTGCTTCGCTATCTGATACTATGTGAATGAGGTCAGTCCTGGTCAGGTCAGGATTTGTATCTAAGTCTTCCCTGCGCTCTTCAGCACCATTTTGTATGTATTAGAATGCACATTGCTTGTTGAGATTCTACTTACACTGCATTGTCCATTCAGTCCTTTTCATCACATTGCGGATCCTCGGTTGCTATGTACATCGCCCAACTGGGCATGTAACACTCTTTGACATGTGTGGTGCATGATGGGGTGTCGCGTCAGTATCTGACAGGTCAGGTCATATATTTGAGTCTTCCGCTGGACTACATTGTGCTATTTTCATATGTATCTGTATGGACATCGCTTGTTGATGCTTTGCTGACACTGCATTGTCCATTCGAGTCCTTTTCATCATTTTGTGGATCCTTGGCTCCACATACATCGTTCAACTGAGCATGTATCAATAGCAGAGAGAATCTGTTACATGCTGCGCCTGCACATGGGCCCATTTCAAGGGGCCTGACGGTTGCTGAGGGCCCCCCAGGCCACATGCCATCAGACATGTGCACTGGAAGCCCATGGTGGCCCACAGGCCGCAGATTTCACATAAAGGCGGCAGTATTTATTTATTTACTTACCGTTGCCTTGTCCCTTGTCTGTGCAGACGACGTTTCGGACTTGCAGACCCCAACGCAACGCCTTGGACCAGGTACAGAGGCACGAGGCCCTTCCGAAACCAGGCGCATTTTGGCGCCTGACTCAACGGTACCAGTACCGTTTCGGACCTCAGGCACCAAGGCAGCGCCTTGGGCCAGGTGCACATGAACAGGGCCTGATCTAGGCCTGGCGCGATTTTGCGCCTGCTGCATCAGCAGCATGGTCTGGACGTCCGGTAGGGGTCCAGACCAGCTGGGCCGTTTCTGAGGCCAGCACCAGGTAGGTCCAGCCGCCCAGCGCTACATATAGCTGGGCAGCGGCTGGGCCAGACACAGTTTGGGTAGCTCACTTCTCAAGGGACACGCTGCTGGACCACCGCTGCAGCTTAGCGCTGTGCTGCAAACTAGAGGTAGGGGAGTAGGTAGGAGAGGGCGGAGGCCATACCTGCGGACATCGGACTTACCTGGCGCCATAGCTGGGACTCCGCTCGCAACCTGCACAAGACAGCAACCACGCGGTAGTCAGTGACGGCGGTCTTCCTGCAGGTGAGACAGTAGGGAGGACGATTTCTTTGTCTCCCCCTCTCTCTCTCTCTCTCTCTCTCTCCTCTCTCCTTCTTCTTCTTCTTCTTCTTCTTCTTTTTCTTCTTCTTCTTCTTCTTCTTCTTCTTCTTCTTCTTCTTCTTCGTCGTCGTCGTCTTCTTCTTCTTCAGATACGAGAGTGAGAGTGGTTACAGGCAGACGATACAGGCAGGGGTTACCATGGGCATGGCGCCCAGGATCTGATTCGACATTTCTGAGACAGACATTGATTGGACATCGGCAAGAGGTTATTTTTGGGACTTCGCTATTGCGACCTACCTCCATCTTCGTCCCTTGCTCTCTTCCCATCTCTCGTCCGTGGTACATCCCCATGTGTGTGTACAAGGAGGGGCCTTTCTTCCTTGTGTGCGGTCCCTCCTCCTCTCACATGTGCGATATATGATGGGATGTCGTGTCAGTCCCGGTCAGGTCAGGACTTATCTTAAAGTCTTCCGTTGCACTACTATGTGCCATTTTGTATGTATCAGGGTGTACATTGCTTGTTGATGTTCAACTGACATTGCATTATCCATTCAGTCCTTTTTATCACATTGCAGATCCTTGGCTCTACATACATTGCCCAACTAGGCATGTATCAGAATCTCTCTGAATTACCTCGGGCAGTTCAGTTCGGTGATGATACCTCAACCCCGTTGCCCTTTAAAAACAGGCTAAAGGGGGGGGAGGAGGAGGGAGGGAAGCTACCTTTCAAGTTTGAACTAAATTCCACGTTCTCATCTGACACATGCTGACAGTTGGAAAATATCAGATCGGTGATGAAACTAGATTTTGACAGGAGGAACTCACCTGTTTGTTGTTGTTGGTGGTGAGGGCGGCGGCGGCCATAGCCACAGAGCTTGAGAAACCTCTAAATGCCTTTCTTTTCTTTTCTTTTCTTTTCTTATTCTTTCTAGTGGTGGTCGCTCATACCGCCACCGCTAGGAATACTGTCTGTTGCTTAAACCGCTAGTACCGCCGCCAGTTGGGAAAATAGGGAGGCCTCGGGTGGGCCTCCAATCTTTTAGGAGGCCGAAACATCACGACGGCCAACAATGAGATTTACCAACGGCGGCCGTCGTCGGGCCCTGCGCCCAATTTTGTAGGAGTATGGGAGAACTGCCAGTTTTCCCTATTTTCCCAACACTGGCAGAGGTACTAGTGTGTCAAAAAAAAAAAAGAGAGAGAGAGAGAGAGAGAAACCTTCGTATGTCATTTCAAGTTGTAAGTTCCAAGCGTACTCTTATCGTGTGGATCGTGCTCCCTTGGTGTGGGTCTTGAGTGCGATGCATTCACACAGTTTGAACCTTGAAGCAATAGAGGGACCACAACAAACAAGATCATTCTGTCTGTCTTGGCTTCACTTTGTCTGTGTCTCGTCTCTCTCACTTGCTGCTTGCTCCTCTTTTTGTCTTTTTGAGACCTAAGCAACCGGCCTGATGCCCCCCACAATAGATGGGGCATGTGTGTGGGGGGGTGAAAGAAACAAAGAAAAAGAAAAAGGAAAAGGAAACAGGGTCTTGTTCAGTAAAGGCAGGACCTTTTCACTGATGATTTGTTGGGGTGGATGGGATGGGTGCATGACGAACTCTTTCCCACCAGGTCTTAGTGCAAAGAAGAGTCAATCTGAAACTTGGATATTATGTGAGGGAGCTGAGAAGGAAATCAGGAGCCATTGCAAATGGCGATTCAGATTCCTCGTCGACGATCGTCGTGAAGTTAGAACCAGTGATGCAAAGTGGTGGTGGTGGTGGTGATGGCCATGGCGACGGCGGAGGACCAAATTACGTGGAGTTGGAGGCTGATCTAGTGTTGTGGACGGTTGGGATTGAGGCCACAGTGCCAGTACTGGGCAAGGCAATGGCAGGTGCGAAGACACCCTTTGCTTTCCCCGTGAATGAGCGGGGAAAGATTGACACGGATGGCTTTCTGAGGGTGAGGGATCACCCTCGAGTATTTGCACTTGGAGATACGGCTGGTGTTGTGGAGGAAGATGGAAGTCCTGTTCGGGCGACGGCTCAGGTGAGACATACCGTTATCTCATCCTTCCATTCCCGTCTCTTGTGTGGGACTTGAGCCTGCGTTGAACGCCAGAATGATAAGGTAAACTGGCCCCAAGAAATCGCTCTGGCAATTGCCTCCAAAGACATTCATAAGCCTTGCCCTCCCTTACAGCCTGTCTTCACCTTTCACAGGACATTTGAGACATTTGCTCTCTCTCTCTCTCTCTCTCTCTCTCTCTCTCTCTCTCTCTCTCTCTCTCTC